CATCGCGCGGGATTACCCATCATGCACTCGATATTATGATATTTAGATATTTCGACAATTCTCATAATTTTTGCAAAAGGCTGTAAATTAATATAATATATATTGATATATATTTAAGAAATGTAAAACGGCGCGCGTGTCTCTGTCCCCTGATATAAACACGGTGGGAGTTCGAAAAACACGAGAGAAGCAAGCTTAGGAACACGAGCGTGGAGAGTGTTTCTCTTGCTTCTCGAGTGTTTTTCAACTCCAATCGTGTTTATATCAGAGGACAGAGACACAAGCGGCCGTTTTATATTTCTTTTATAAAATTTTTCGAGCGAAAAGAAAATTTTGCCGGTAAGCAGCCGTGTCTCTGTCCTCTGATATACACACGGTCGTCAGCCAATCAGAGCGCGCGTTATATATCAAAAAATTTATAAAACATATATATTCAATGAAACTGGTTCTTCATTGTTCTGTCGCCCAATAATAACGCACTTGACTGAATAATATTAAGATAATGGAGCGTTTCTGTGACCTCAACCGATCGCTGTATAACTTATACGTAGGCTAGCCCGCCGTCAGTCCTTTTTTAGAGCCACAACAGCTTTCTCTCAGATATCTCATCCCTGTTGGTCGCTTACTCACACATAATCAACTTATCATCGCATTCACAGTGAACCAAACTCTCAAAATATGAGAGATATTCCCTCTCCAGTTAAAAAAAAGCTTCATGTTTCCAGGAAAAAGACGTTTATTCAATAAAGGCACAAAATGCAGTTGTCAACATTAGTCTCCTTCACGGTTCCGCTTTCATAATCTAACTAAAGGTAGCCGTGGCTTTGATCGAGGGAAGACGACCTCTGAGTGTGCAACGATAGAAAACTTGCATCATCGCACGCTCAATGGTCTAGACGGTCGTCTCCGTTCGATAAAAAGGCACCGTTTTACATTTCAAGATGGCAAAGGGAACCATGAAGGAGATTATTTCACAAGTGAACAGTTATATACTAGGCTCGAATCATCTTCAACTTATCCTGGATGGTTGCCGGCATCTGAAACAGAAGAACAAGTGGTGAAGTCACTTGCAAGTGGCTTAAATAGGTGGGCGTGCAATGACGACCGTCGTAGTTTGTTTACATCCAAAGTATCAAATTCAAAAAATAAGCAATATGAACTCACACAATTCCAGATTATGTTACTCTCAACAAAACCTGAAAACTTTAGGGCAGACGTCTACTTACATTTCGAGATATCGGCATTTCAAAACTACAAAACCTATGGAAAACATTCAGTGGTCGGCTATATTATGCCCACCAAGGTCATTTCTTAAGAAAATCTTGCAAATTCGGTGCTTGATCATATCTCTTAAAATATTTAACCAATTGCCTTCAAATTTCAGGAATTGCTAACAGGTATGAGATCTCTTCATTTATGTGATTGATTTCTTGTGGGCCTGAATTTCGATTTCTGACTTTTATGCAAATTAGCTAAAATGTAAACATTTGTAATCACCTATACTGCGACATTTCTAAGGCAAACTAAGATTGTCTTAATCTTCATGACACCGAGGAATGATCAATATTGTTACGTTCTCCGGCTTTCTCCTTTTCGACCTTGCATGTCACAGAATGACACGCATGAGGCCGGTCAAGCTCGAGTTCACAAGAAAGAGGGGTCTCTGTCAGACTACAAAGCAAGGGAAATTATTTTCTAGTTCACCGTACAAGGATTATTCTGCACTGATAAAGAACGCTGTCGTTGACCCTCAAGGAATGGACATTACCAGGGGACCAGTATTTCTCTTTGTTCTTTACGGACCCCCTACAACCTTCATATCAGTTCGGTCCCTACCTGTATTAACACAGACCGCATGTTGCCTTGCACATCTCTCTCATTTCATCATTTTCACATCCTCTAATCCATTTCATCATCTGACACTTCACTTTCAAGTCTTTACAATCTCGTTTCTTTGGGTCGTCCGATTCCTGGTATCTTTTCCTTGTCTTCTCTTCTTCCTCAATGGATAGCTTGGTYAGYTCTTGGATGAGYTTCTGTACGTGCTCCTTGCGTGCCTTTTGAAGTTTTTCCTCTTCATGGCTTCCTGGAAATAAATGTTGTTGTTTTTTTTTAATTAAAAGCACTTTTCTGTATTTTCATCTCAATATCTACGGGCACAGGCATAAAAGTGGCAGTTGGAAAAAGAGACGCGCGCGATATTACATGGGAAAATGGGGCATGGCTCAATAAATGGTTTTATTCCATCAAAATACTAGTACAAAACTGATTTTACCACAATTGTAAATTTTCTTGCTTTCTGATTGGTCGAGATACTACGGTAACAAGATTGTTCTTCTGTTGTTGTTGCTTTTTTGTGGTGTTGGTTGGGGGGGGGGGATTGTTATCTTGTTATTGCAAAATATTCTTTGGGGTAAAAAAAAACAAAAACAAATTGATGATAGTTTCTTGATTTTGTCTCGTGTATCAACAACAATCTTGACGATTCGATGACGCTAAGAGGATATGCTACGAGAAACACCATCATCAATTTGTTCTGACTAGACGCCTCGAGCTCTTAGCCTGACTAGCACAATTTTTTTTTACAAATGTAAAAAAAAAAACATTACTTACGTTATTCTAACATGTTCTAATCCTATAGACGTATATGCCCTCAAAGAGTGTTTAATAAGCCAAACATACTCGTCCCCAGTGCATCTCGGTCGTCCATTCTCCCTTCGTTAGCCCTGGTAACAGCCGTTTGAGGCTCGATGCTGATTGGCTAGAAAGTTCGAGCATGCGCGATTTTCGCCGTACATTCAACCGTCTCTCCTCGCTTTTGATTGGTGGATTTATAAGGATGCTCGGAGCATTTTAGATGGAAACCTAGTGCGAATAAAGCTGACCTTTTCCTAACGGGCTCAGGTCGAATAAAGACAACAAAGCCAAAATTTGACTAGGTATTTCTTTCAACCTTCGCTCGTTTAAACTGCTATACATCTACTTTAAGGTGGATGGATCATACAGACATGGAAGCTGTTCATTTGCGTGACTTACCACTGGCTAAAGATATCCAAATCCGGAAGACAGAACACAAATGCATTCTTTTTTTT